CGAGGGGGAGCGCTGAGGCTGGTGACATACATATGGTGACTATATTTTCTGAACCAAAATTAGGGACACCTTAGCCAGGCCCCCTGACCCGTTAGCCACACCCCTGCTGCAAGAAGTGCCACCCCTGGAGGTAGTACTCCTGGGGTCAAGATGGACACATGACCAGAAGTAAAGGGTGTCCTGTGACGCCTCTAGAACGCCTCCCACCATCCTCTACCAAGAGGGGATGAGTTTGGCCCACACAGGACACTCACCCCCATGAAACTATCCTGCAATTGCATTAATCCAATTTGCATTTAGGGTTGCCAGGTGTCCGATATTGACCCGGACAGCCTGGTTTTTTCGCCTCCTGTCCGGTAAAAAAAATTCAGGAAATACCAGCCACCTAAAATGTCCAGTATTTTCTGATTTTTTTCTGTCCAGGAGGCGAAAATACCAGACTGTCTGGGTCAATACTGGACACCTGGCAACCCTACACACACTCAGCAACCAGGCCCAGCCCTCACTGGCTTGTTCTTAAAGGGGCCATGCTGGTTTTTTTATTTTTTTAACTTTTTTGCTTAATAATAATTTTCAGACCGACCTGACTGCTTTTCTTGTCAAGTCTTCGTAGCATGCTCTGCAATTGGTTGGTGCTTTCAGCAATTAATACAATGTTGTCCGCAAATCTGAGCTGAGATAATCGTTCTCCGTTTATGTTGGCATCACTTCTCCAGTTGATCTTGTTCATTACCATTTTGAGGAAGGCAGTGAATAGTTTCGGTGAAATCATATCTCTTTGCTTCACGCCTTTCTCGATTGGGATACGGAAGGGAGTTTCAAGGAGAGTAATATCTGTTGTACATCCAGTATTCGCTTCCTTCAACAAATTGATGTATTGCATCTTAATGCCCTGCTCTGTGAGCATCTTTAATATTGCGTTGAACTCGATGCTATTGAAGGCCTTTTCATAATCAACTAAAGCAATGCACAGTGGAAGTTTGTATTCCCTCGCTCTTTCTAGGAGCTGGTTAAAGGTAAATATATGGTTGATTGTGCTGAAATTTCTTCGAAACCCTGCCTGCACTCTTGGCTGTTGTTCATCTAGGCTCTGCGAAAGTCGGTTCCTTACCACCTTTGTAAAGAACTTGTAAATATGAGAGAGTAGGCATATAAGGCGGTAATTCTTAAGATTTTCTTGATTGCCCTTCTTGTGCAGCAAGATGGTATTTGACTCCTTCCAGCTTGATGGTATTTTTCCTTCTTCAAGATATCGACTGACTCTTAAAGCGAGGGTCTTCCAAAGTTTTTCGCCTCCTGCGGAAATCATTTCTGACATTATTCTATTTTTGCCTGGAGCTTTTCCCTTCTTCATCTGGTATAGTGCGCTTCGGATTTTGCTGACGATTATGGGGAGATGCGTTCTTCTGACTCCTGGAGCGTTGGGAGAGGGATGTTGATTCTTGATTTGAATAGTTCTGTATAGAAGTCCTTACGGACCTTCTCCATCCCTACTCTGTCGATTACTGTCTCTCCATCTTTGTTCTTCAATGCTGTTATGCTCAGTCTATACTGCATCAATTCCTGTTTGCATGTCCTGAAGCTCTTACGTGATTTGGCTGTTTTGAGGAGTTTTTCTTTCCAGAAGTTCTCAAAGTCGTCCTTCAGCTTTTGCCGTTTAAGCTTGCACGGAATGGAGTACTCAAAGTTGTTATCCGAGCTCCTTTTCATGTTTCTCCGCTTCTCCAGCTGGCTTTTCATTTCCTTCAAGATTCTTCCCTTCACCTTCTTCGACTTTTCAATTTCAGCTGCTTTTAAGCAACAACTGAGCTTGTCAGCAAAGATACTATAGTCTTTACACTTTTCCGTCTGGCTCCAGTCAAACCCAGAAATCGCTTTCTTCAGCTTTGCTTCATCGAATGTCTTCGGACACCGTTTCCTATTTGCCATCTATAACACCTTTTTTTCCACCACTTTGTCGAAAATCAACTTCGCTCTAAGCAAGTGATGGTCACTGCCGATGTTGAAAGGCTGCACCACAGAGATGTCTTGAACAATGCACCTTTTATTGACTAAAATATAGTCGATTTCATTCTTGCTTTTCACGTTTGGTGCAATCCACGTCCACTTTGTTGCGATCTTTTTATACCAGGTGTTTGCCAAGTACAGTTCTTTCATTTCTGCCATCGCTACTAACCTTTCTCCTCTTTCATTCTTTTCGTCACTGCCATATCTCCCTATGAAGTTTTTACCAGCTTTCCCTCGTCCGACCTTGGCATTGAAGTCTCCCATCGTGATAGTGTAAGTGGACTTTTGCGCGAGGGCTCTTTCAAGCTCTCGGTAGAATTCTTCCACTTCTTCGGTCTCACTTGCACTTGTGGGGGCATAGGCCTGGATGACCTTGAGGGTAGCCTTTGACTCTATCTGAAGATGAAGCACACCAATACGTGATGATATTAGCTGGCATGATATAACTTTCAAAGACCAGTCCTTACTGACGATAAATCCGACTCCCCCAATGTTTCTAGCACCGTCTTCTTTTCTGAGCCTCACAGTGCTTCCATCCTTCCAGTTGACTTCCAACTTCTTCTTTCGTCGGGTTTCGCAGACTTCGCAGGATGTTGCATCTTATCCTTTTCTTTTCCTTCATCAGATGGTTTAACGTTTCCTCCCTCGCTAGCGACCTACAATTGTAAGAACACACAGCAAGGGATGTCCTTTTCCATGTTGGCGTAGCACCTGACATTTTTGTCAGCCTCTCGTCGCTCAATTTCCACTCCACCACTATAGAACTGTTCGATGATGCTCTGGGTCTAAAACCCATTTACTCGTGTTGTTTTAGCAATTGACTTCAAGCCATCCCACCAGTCATGGTTTTATAGACTTCTATGATAACCCCCCTTAGTCTCCTCTTTTCTAAGCTGAAAAGTCCATGTCTTTTTAATCTCTCTTCATATTGGACCTGTTCCAAACCCGTAATCATTTTTGTTGCCCTTTTCTGAACCTTTTCCAATGACAATATATCTTTTTTGAGATGAGGTGACGACATCTGTACACAGTATTCAAGATAAGGGCATACCATGATTTTATATAGGGGCATTAATATATTTTCTGTCTTATTCTCTATCCCATTTTTAATAATACCTCCCTCTACCCACCTACACTGCCTCTCTACTCAGCCCGTCCCACCTCTCCACGTGTCTGCCCTTCCGTTCACCCCCACAATCCCCTGGCACTACACTTTCCCTTTCCTATGTACCTTCCTGGTGCCTCCCTCTTCCCTGACTGCCCCTGCCCTCCTTGCCCTCTTTCTCTCTGATGCCCACCCCCTCACCATCCTTTGTCCCAATTTTACTCATGCCCCTCTGCGCACTCACACATGACTTGCTCCATTCCCTGCCTTCCTCCTGCCCACTCCTCCTTTCAGCCCCTCTTCTCCAGGCTCCCATTGCTCCCCTCTCCTCTTCCTTTCTTTTGTCCCCATTGTTCCTCCCCTTTCATCTCCCAGCATCACCCTGTCCCCTCCCCTCTCCCACATCCACTGACACCTTTCCTCCCCTCCCCCACTCCTGCCCTTTTCCTCATTGTCTCCTCTTGGCACCCTGGCATTTGTCTCTCCTTCACCCTGCCTCTTGGTGTCTTCCCCTTTCTTCTCCTGCCATCCCCTCCACTCTCCCCTCAGCACAAGCTCCTTCCTTTCATCACCTCTTCCTTTCATCGCCAGCCCTTAGTTCTCCCCTTACCCCTTCCCTTACCATCTGCCTTCGAGAAAGCAGTTTGTAGGGCTGGAGCCTGCGGTCCAGCCCCAGAAGCCCCTGCAGCCCTGACCCCAGCTGTTCCCGGAGAAGGACCACTTCCCAGGCCTGGAGCAGAGGCTGCCTATGGTGCTGTTTTTAGCGTCCAGACTGAGGCTATGTCTAGACTACACAGTTTTTTCGAAAAAAGTGGCCTTTTTAAAAAAAACTTCACCTGCATCTAGACTGCTGTCACGTTCTTTCAAAATTAAATCAAAAGAACGTGTTGGTTTTTTCAACAGGGTAAGCCTAATTTTACGAGGAAGAACACCTTTTTCCTGGATAAGTGAGGCTCTGAGAGGCAAAGAGAAAAAAATGAGGGGTGGACCCAGATCTGTGCTACACTAACACATACCCAGATAGCAGGACTGCTCCAAAGAGGAAAAAGCACAGGTACCCTCATGGCCATTCCATTCATTGCAATCACAGCTTACGTGTGAGAGAGCATCCATTCAGTCTGGACTCTCTCTTTCGAAAAAGCAGATCGCTTTTTCGATGCACTTTTGCAGTGTGAATGCTCTCTTTCGGAAGAAGTTTTTCCAGAAGATCTCTTCTGAAAAAAGCTTCTTCCGAAAGAAGCCTGCAGTCTAGACGTAGCCTGAGTGACCCACTCTGTTTTTATACCTACTATTTCATTTCACAATCTGATGCCATTCAAAAATACAGACTTCCTTCTCTTCTGAAAAAAAGCTGCTTCTGAAAGAAGCCTGTAGTCTAGACGTAGCCCAAGGGCTGAAGCTGAAGCCTGAGAAGCTTAGTTTTGTAGGGACCTGGGGAACTGTGCTGCTTGCTGCTTCCTAATGCTGGTCCTGGCTATTATATGCAAAAAAAACCCATCAACCCCTCCCCAATCTCCCCCCCAAAAAAAACAGTTTCTGTGGCACAGTTGGGCTGTGGAGTTTGTTCAAGTGGCTTCAGAAAGAAAAAGATTGAGAAGCCCTCATTTAAATATTGTGACAGCAACCTCTAATGTGAATGCCATATATCAACACACACGCCCCCATATGTGTATTGTTTGTTTCTTTTATAAAAAAATTTTCAGCATGATTTAGAGACCTGAATAAAACAGCAGGAACATTGAAAATGATAAACCTATTTGCAGTTTTAACAGCATTTTGGAGCTGAAGAATTATTGTATTTTTCAATATATGTATATGTTTTTGCACAATTTATCCTGGATTTCGTCTTGGCATCTTGCTGTTTACAATGAGTTCATAATGCTTTTATTCCTCCTGGAGGCAATCAAATTGTTTTTTCCATTATCAAATACAGCTGTTTAAATCTCTCTGCAAAAGTCAAAATCTTGTTGAAGAAATTCCAAACAGCACTAAAAACAGGCTTAAATTTTATCATTCAAAGATTTGTACTGTCTTAGGGTATGTCTACACTACCACCCTAGTTCGAGTTGCCTACATTACCACCCTAGTTCGAACTAGGGTGGTAATGTAGGCAACCGGAGTTGCAAATGAAGCCCGGGATTTGAATTTCCCGGGCTTCATTTGCATCTCGCCAGGCGTCGCCATTTTTAAATGTCCGCTACCGTTCGGACTAGGCTACCGTTACCGTTTCACGAGGAGTAACGGTAGTTCGGACTAGGAAGCCTAGTCCGAACTACCTAGTCCGTGCCGTGCGGGTACCCGCGCGGCACGGAGTCCGCACTAGTGGACATTTAAAAATGGCGGCGCCCGGCGAGATGCAAATGAAGCCTGGGAAATTCAAATCCTAGGCTTCATTTGCAACTCCAGTTGCCTACATTACCACCCTAGTTCGAACTAAGGTGGTAGTGTAGACATACCCTTAGAGACTACTGTACCAAATCATTAGCCAAATGTAAATGATACAGCACTTTTGTATAAAGTTCAGGACCAGAGGTTGAAGTCCAATTATTACTATATCTCAAGACCTGTAGTCTTTTCCTCATTGTTCACTTCTTTTTTTCTCTCTTAAACATGTCTCTTCAACCCTGACTCCCTGGTGCAGCACAGCCCTCCAGAATAGCCTATTGATAGCAGCATTTTCTAAACTTGTGGTGTCAATGTTGAAAGGGTTCAAGTCCTTCATGTATATGTCCTTGAGCCTAGATCAGCCCCATAGCTTTGGAACATCTACACACTATTCATACAGGAGATCCTTTACAAAATGGCAGAAATTGGAACTTATAGGGGGTTTGCAAACTTGAAAGCCTTTAAAATTGTGAAATAAAGTAAAATTGAGAGGCAGGGTAACCCTGCCATTAAAGCACTAGACTCAGGGTTCAGCTACACTGTGGGGTTTTTTTTGGAAGAGGTATGCAACTAGCAGTTGTATTTGCATACCTTCTTCAATTTTTTTTTCCAGAAGAGGCTTTTCCGCCTTTTGGCCCCATCTGCACATACCCTCACTAGATCTGGGTTCATTTCTCAGTTGTGCCATAACCTTGGGTAAATTATTTAATCTCTCTGTGCCTCAATTCCCCATCTTTAAATAAAGGTGACAGTACTTTTTGTGTCTATCTTGTCTATTTAGATTGAAAGCTTTTAGGATCGAACATTGACTCATACAATCT